TAGACATTAAGAAAATTGGCCTTTTGTCAGGTAAATTGCAAGTATGTTTTCTCCTGTGAGTGGTTTGTCTTTTGACTGTTTAGAGCATTTTAAGTTATATAGAAAAATATTGATTTTTATAGTTAAATACATTTTTATTGTATAGATTGAGTATTTTGTCTTTGAAAAGCCTTCTGATATTCTATTATTCTAAAATTATTTAAAAATTACCTCATTTCTTCAAAAACTTTTACGATTAGTTATACCATTAAAACTTTGTCCCATTATATCTTCGATACAATTTTAACTTGGTAAGGTGTAAGGTATGGATCAGTTCCCCCCCGCCCCCACAGCTAGCTTCCCTGTTGTCCCAACACCACTTACAGAGTAATTCATCTTTGCCTCACTGATTTAAGATGATGCCTTTAAAATCAGGACAGGGTGTAAAATTTTATAAAATGTTTTACGGAGAGGATCGTGTGTGTTTCTCTCCTTTAAAACAGTCATGTAGTGAGCTAATTACTAGATTTGCTAACAAGAAATAATCATTGTATTCCAGTGATAAATCCTGCTTGGTCATAATGAGAATGTTTTATTACTACATTAAGGAAGTTTGTTTTTAACTTTACAGGCATCTTTCATCAATAGTTTTCTTTTTTGGTGCTTTTATTTAAGGTCATGCTAGGTGCATAAAATAGATTTTTTTTTCTATCTATAATAATTTTTATAGAAACAATCTGTATTTGTAAAGTCTGATAAAATTCACTATAAAATGATACGGTTGTAATGACTTCTAAAAAAAGTATCAGTAAATTCTATATTCAATTTATTCTATAGTTATGACCCTTGCCATTTTCCTATCTTCACCTTAGTCAATTTTATGTATTTCCTTTCATAGAGTCCTTATATACACAATTTAAGTTGTATATTTTAAGTTACAAAATAATGACATAAAAAAATTTGAGAATATTGTAATACTTGTGTACCCATAATGCAGTTTAAGAAAACATTCTTGCTGATATAACTGAATCCCTCTCCACTGTTCCCCAATCCCATTCCTCTATCCTCCCCACACATACTACCCTGATTTGTTTTCAACCCATTGCCATGTTTTATACATTGTTGTACATAAAATATTTAGAGGTTTTAAAACTTTTCTTTACACAACTGTACTTACCTTTCTGCAACTTGCTTTTGTCTCAACATTTACAGTATGTTGCTATATAGAGCGCCAGTTCATCAAGTTTTAAAAGCTGTTATTATACTATCCAGTGTTAACAAACCAGTGTCCATATTTGTTCTCTGTTGCTGGCTATTTAGTCTGGCTTAAGGTTTTACCAATACAAGTATCTGATATTTCCTCTTTCATTTTCTTTCTCCTTTGTAATGCCTCCAAATAAAGGGAAAATTAGTGCACATGAGCAGGATTTTCTTTTCCTTTTTAAAATTTTACTTTTTCCTCATCTGACATACTTTCAGTGTCTGGGAACATGATCTCTGTATTTTCTTGTGCATTCTAAAAAAATCGAAGTCTTCCCTAAATGCCCAATTTATACCTGAAATATGTAGCTCCTTGTACTTCTCTTCGGCATTCTTTTCGGGAGCAAGAGGTAATTCCTCATTTTCAGATAAAAGTCTGGAAGAGATCTGCATCTTTTAAACATCTCTTAACTAACAGTTAAAGTTAGTGTAAAACTTCAGAGGAAGGCAGTGATTTTTACTGTTTATTCAGCAGGACTTTTAGGGGTTTCCTTTTATTAAGAGAACTCCTTGGATATTTATTTGATTTAAGACTGGTACTTTACAAATTTTTCCAATACATCATCTTCCAAGACCTATCAACCAACTTTGTTTGCTTGACAGTCTTCTATTAATCAGAGAGCTTTAACTTCAAGTAGTGAAGATTTGTTATTAGAACAAGAGGCTGATATGTCATCTGTGATATGTGTGTACTCCAGTCAGCTTGTGTAAAAATGTTACTTCTCTGATACAGTCATGCTACAAGAGAAACGAAAATTGGTATTTTCTAACACTATATATTAAAAGTAATACTAGACTGCCTAGTACAATCTTCTTAGATTATTCCAAAGCTAGGGATGAAGGTGTTTTAACATCTCGTTAGCCAATACCCTAGTCTTATATGAATACTTACTTTTAATTTTATCCTTTGTGCTGATTTCATTTTGTCCTGTGGTATGTATAAAAATGGAAGAGTCAGATTTAGTTTTCAATTCAGTAATGCTATCTGACCCATGACACACAAGATACCAGAAACCTCTTATCTGTATTTTGATGCTTCACTGAGACACAAGAGGATTTTCTGCCTACCAGTTACAAAAAAATATCAGTGTGCCGAATTAGAGTTTAAAACTCATCCTTCCCAGGACAACTTCTTGGCTTGGCATCCCTTTCAAAGCTAACTTAGGTGAGTGGGACTTAAAATTTATCTTGTAAACAATCTTAAAATAACCTGTATTGCTTAAATTTTAAATTATATGTATCTTCAAGCACTGTGTATGTGTATGTGTCATCCATAGCACTCATTACTAAATAGGCTCAAGGTATACCAAGATACTGATTCCCTCAACCTATAGGGCAGGAGGCAAACAAGCAGCTTCATCCATTTCTCCCAGAATGCCTTATAAATACTGTAATTTTCTATGTACACTGTGATGTGAAAAAGTTCGGAAAACACTGCTATAGTCCCACAACTACTCTGTACATTCCTTTAAGAAACACTTTATTTTCCTGACTCCAGAATGCCTAGAACAGTTCTCTGAACACAGTGTGATTAATCTTGAATGACCTGATGTTAATTTCCAATACCAATTAGATCTAGGAAGTTTAACTGGTTATTTCAATTTTAAATGGTAAATATTATGCATATTCTCCAAAAGGTAGTTGTACCGGCCAATCTTACAAAAAAGCTTTCGCATAATACTCAATGTCAAATTTTCAGGTTTGAAAAAAAAATTACAGTTTTCCTTAATTACTTTTCTAAGAGAATTTCACATTTCAAGAATACTTGTGATGAACCAGAGCTTCCAGGGCACACTTTTAAAAAAAAGACTCTCATTCCCACTTCAGTTTCCAAATCCCAAATGAGGAAAAACCTCATGAAATATCTGTATCATATATTTATCTAACTCATACAAGTTTTTTAAGTGTATTTATAGGTATAGTCTGGAAAAACAGTACTCAACCATGCCAGAACACTTACTTCTACAATTCTTGATTTCAATATCCACAGCAACCCCAGGCTTCAGTTGCTTAACTCCTCTTCTCTTACCTCATGAGGATAGTCACTCCCTTGATCAAGTTGTCATTACTAGTAAGTGTTAACTCCTCAAAATCTCAGCTGTAAGCACTTTAAGCACATCTCTCTAACCACCACTTCCTACAATTCCAGGTCATTCCGTCTAGTACTCCAACTCTAAATGTATTTTCCCGACCCCACTAATTGTTTTTCACTATCCTTCCCCTCATGTCCTTACTTCCTTGCTTACCTAGCATAATTTCCATTACAATCTTGTCCCCTCTACAGGTGGTCAGTCAAACTCTCCTGGCAAAACCACAACCTCGGTTAAATTTAACTCCTCTTACTCTTTACTCTGTGCCTGCACCCGTGCAGCTTTACGTGGCTGGAGAAAAACATAGCCATACTCACTGATCTCACTGTAAATTCATTATTACTAACCTTGAGTAGTTCTGCACTTTGCCTGGCTATAAAACTGTTTCCCAGGTCCACCCATTCTCCCTTTCTTTCAGCCCAGAGCACTCCCCTCCTTTCTCTCTCTAGTGCTAACTTCCACATGATAGTTCCCTTTGAAATCTAAAACCAAGCTCCTGACCAGCCCAAATCTTCTCAGCCCCAAATGTCCTTAATATTTTTTTTTATCTAACATTCCACAACCAACCTTTTGGTAAATCTTGTTGATTTTTACCTGTAATGTATACATCCAGAACTCACCATCTCCACAGCCTACAGCTACCTCCTCAGGCCAAACCAACACTGGCTCATCTAGATTACTGTAATAGCCTCCTAATTCTCCATGATTTTGCCCTTGCCTCCACACTTCAGCCTGTTCAACATAATAGACATTATGATTCTTAAAACTACATCCCTGAGCTTTATAATACTTCGTGTTCCCATTCTTCCTCCACTTCAATAAAATGCTATGCTTAGACTATAAAAAAGACTAGTCTTTGCATAACCATTATTGCACACGGTGGGCTAAATTATTTTGGTAAATACTACCTTTCACATGCACATCACCTTAAATTGCATGTATTTTTAAGAAAGCATCCTAGGGCAGAAAACAGAGCTAAAGAAACTGACCTTCAAAGGATACAAACCCATGACAGCCCAAATGATATAACTAAGCTAATCAACTGAAGATTTATCTAGTATATAGTTCAAAGTCATCATCAGACTTTTGAAAATGTCTTTTAAAAAGGGAATAATTAACACTGCCAGTTCATTTCCTTCAGGAATCCAAATATTTTAAAACTAGAGAAAATAATTTAACTAAAAATGGCAGAATTTCCTTCTAAATTCTGTGTTTTCAAAGCACAACTGATTTTTCAAAAGAAATTAATCATGTCACTGAATTTTTAAAATCTATACAATTCAAGCTAATGAAATATTTTATTGTACATAATAAAAGTGATATTTTTAAAAAAACATTTCCAGGCCCAGACATCTGCAGGACTACATGAGGAAAGGATTCCACTGAAGTATAGTAAGTAATACTTGACTGAATGACACCATAAATCCACCCTCTCCCTAGAGTAAATACTAACATATACCACAGGCTTGAAATTCCTGTAGCATCAGTAAATGTATTTTTTAAAATATTACAAACATGCTTATGATGCATAGGAAGATGGAAAAATTCAGGCTATAACTGCACACCATATGTATTCCCAGCTTTTCTAGTTTACAACCAGTTAAAAATCACAATATGCAAAGAAAGCATTTTAAGATAGTATATAACTCACTGATAAGTGATTTTCTACTCAAATAAATAGGAAAATTTTCATTTTAATGTCACATTGTATTTCAGTACTTTTCAATCCAAGAAAAGAAATAAACTGAGACATGGTCATGAGTTCAGGATTATATATATTACAATTTGCCTTGTTATAGTACATTTGTGGCTTTATGATAAAAATAACTCAGGGACATATGGAATTCAAGCTAATTTGCGTAACTGTCACAAGAAAAAAAAGCATTAAATGCATTTCTGAAATAAGTATTTTCATTTAATTTCAGAATCTCAAAAGAGCTTTAGACCTTGGCCTTATTAAAAAAAGTTTAGTTAAACACTAGCTAGCTAAATAACCTTGAAAGGTTGAAACACAATTGAAATAGAAAATGCTTTCCCTCTAATCTTAATCTTACATAAATGGAAGAGGTAAGGACGGGGGAGGAAAAGGTAGACAATTTCTTTAGCAGCACATATGGCTAAATCCATCAACCACCTTAAACTAGAATATCCATTATTGACCCCATTAAAAAGAACTGGGCAAATATCAAAAGTTGCCCACTTCATAAATCAAAGGACAATGATTTTAGGGCTACAGTAAGTAAAATTTTTCAAAAATTTTTAACATTAAACTAGAGGAATCATCTCTTCATTGTAAGAAAGGCATAACAGAAAGTAAAAGACATTTAAACTAAACTGATTTTCAATCCTCTTTGGACAAAAGAAATGAAAAATAATGGTTGATTAGCTAAGCTTTGTGCTCTAACCAAACTAATTACAGTGACTTTAAATGGCAACAGCCCATCTGAATGGGTAGCTTGACAGTTTTGAATACTTTTGCAAAAAATGATTTTTTAAAAATGCAAAGACACTAAAATGATCCAGCCATGCAGCGTTCATCTTATGCATTCTGCATTTCTTTGCCAATCTTGTAGCTAAGGATCTTGTTCCAATCAATCTTAGTGCGCGTAACTGGCAACTGTCGTCGTAAGGCTTTGAAAGTAGTGTCCGACATTGTCTGATAATTCTCACTGATGGCAGTCTATGAAAATAGTAGTTAAAAGTTTAAAGAAGTAAAAGAACAGAACAATTTATGAAATACATAGATGATGCCTTAGGAAAAAACCTTTATGTAAGCAGCCTGTTTCAGGGCTTTTAAATGTCAAATAAAAAACCCGATACGGGTTTAAAATCTGCTAAAAGAGAAAGCTTATAATCATTTTGAATATTTAAATTTACTTAAATGAAATGGTAAATTAGACTTAATATTTGTGTGTCCTCATTTTGAACCTATTTTACTATTTTACTCAGAACACTTTTATAAATTACTATTTGCAAGATGTGATGAAGATATGTTGAACCCACAAATTAAATGCTTAAGTTCCAGAGAGTAGTTTAGAAGCTGAGAAATAATGTAAAAAGTAGAATAAAAGAAAAAATATGATCTAAGTGAATTATACACAATTCAAATGTTTTGAGAAACATCACCTAATTAAAACTTCCAATCAGAAACAAAATAACCATTTAAAATCTTGGCAAATTCTGAACAATACCAAAAAATTACAGTTGGCTAAAATTGAATTTTGGCTATACTTTGACAAGTTTTCCTTTGAACTGAAGACAAACAAGGAAATAAAAACACACAAAAAAGACTCTTATCTTTCTATAGTCAAACAATAAAAAAATTCAGGTTTATGACTGAAATTAAAATTTGAGTGCCATTATTTATAAGCAATTACAAATTATATATAGATTACATATATAATATAGATTATATAGCATTTTTGAAAATCATACCTGGTATTCATTTTCTGCAGCTTCTACAATTTTTATAAATTCCTTTGCTGTTTGCACCTCATTCTGAATGAAAAACAACCATAAGTAAATAAAATAGTAATTTAAAACTATACCACTATTATTTTTATAATAGTTATGTCAATATATGTATGGTTAATGATTTAAGTTGAATTCATTGTAATGTTAAAATATTTTTGGGAAAAAAACCATTCCAACATATGGTTTTCTTTGCTTTGTTACTAACAATAAAATGTAACAGAAATATGGACTTTTTAAAATAAAGCAATGTTAATGTAAAATTATCTAATACCATACTTTATATATATTATTTATACATATATTTACACATATATATTTATATAATGGGTACATTTTTTTTCTCTGCCCAAAACAATAAAGCAACTATGAAAACCTTATAAGTGAAAATTGCATTCCTAAAGAACTCACACAAATTGGCATATTGGTCAAGTTTAATTATCATGACCATCTCTCACAACTCCCATCTGTAATTCTGTAGACTTAGCTCTCTTAAGAGGAAGAATCTTTGCTCAATGTCAAACTCCCCAAAGAAGACAATTATGCAAGTAATACTACTACATGTTGCTCATGACATACAACTATATCAAACACAATGCATCATGGAAAACTAGGCATTATTTTCTTTTACAAGAAGACTGCCACTTAGCAAGAAACCAGAAATCATCTAATTGCTAATGAAAGAATTAAACCAAAAATACACCTTTCTTTTCAGATGGCATCTGGCCTAACACATTCATAGGTGTTTCTTAATGTTAAATCTTTTCTTAAATTAAAAATGAGTTTTCTTTAATATTTGTAAGTTAGCTAATTTTTTGTATCAGCAGCTGATGTTTATAATACAGTGTTACTTTTAGGTATACAATATAAGTGTTTATGGGAAAATGTCACTGTTAATGTTTTATTATTATAACACTTGGGGCAAAAAAAATTCCATGAAGAAATAGTTGTTATGTGCAATGGAAATAATGTGTGAAAGAACTCTGTAGAGAAATGAAATCAAATTCAAAGTCTCTTGAATTTCAAAGCTGTATGTCAGAAAAATTTCATTAAGTCGTAACTCAAATATATAAAGGGCAAAAATATACAATAGAGTTTAAAAGTTAAGTACAGGATGAAAGATCTAAATTTAAGAGCTAAAACTATAGAATCCTTGAAAGAAAACACTGAAGTAAATTTTCATGACCTGGGGTTAGGCAATGGTTTCTAAAAATATACCAAAAAGTACAAGTAATGACAGAAAAAATTAGTTGGACTATATAAAAACCAAAATTGTTTTGTTCTGCAAATGATACTATCGAAAACTGAAAAGGCAAAGAGAATGGGAGGAAATATGTGCAAACTATGTATCTGATATAGATCTTATATCCAGAGTATATAAGTAAAAATTATAACTGAACAATAAGAACACATATAACCAATTAAGAAACAGACAAAGGATTTAAATAGACCTCTTCCTAAAGAAGATATACAAATGACCAACAAACACACAATAAGATGCTCAATATCATTATCCATCAGGAAAATGTAAATTAAAAAATTAAAAAGTAACTAACACTTAATACCAACTAGGATGGACATAATAAAAAAGACAGACATAAGTTTTGGTGAGGATATGGAGAAACTGGAACTCTCACATACAACTGAATGGGAATGTAAAATGGTCTAGCCTCTTTGGAAACAGTCTGGCACTTCCTCAAAAGGTTAGAACTACCACACAACTCAGCAATTCCACTGGCATGTAGAAACTGAAGATGAATTAAAATAAGTATCTATACAAAAATAGTACACAAAGTTTCATGGCAGCAAAAAGCAGAAGACAACACGAACATCTACCATACGGATAAATAAAATGTGGTATATAGAATATTGACCATAAAAAAAAGGAATGAAGTACTGATACATGCTCCAACATAGATGAACCCTGACAACATGCTTAGAAAAACAAAGCTGGTCAAAAAAGACCACATACGGTAGGATTCCATTTATATGAAACATCCAGAATAGACAAACCCAGAGTCAAAAAGAAGATTCATGGCTGCGTAGGGCTGAGACAGGTTTGTAGGAAGGGTTGGTGGGGGGATGGGGAGTGACTGCTAATGGGTGTAGGGTATTTAGAGAATGAAAATGTTAGATTGTAGTGATTTCTGTACAATCCCATTTATGTATTAAAAACAAGGAATGAGTGAACAGAATGTTTATGAATGATATCTCAATAAAGCTTCTTTAAAAAAAAGTTAGGTACCAATTCCAATTACTTACTATCTTTAAACTCTCTGAAAACACTTTAATCCAAAGCAGAAATACTACTTTAAATGTTAATTCCAAAACTGTTCTGGTTTTATAAAAGTATTAGGTTGTTTAGATTTTATTTTGGATTAATTACTTACAGACACTGTTAGGGAATCTTGTATATCTTTATGACTCACTAGCTGAACATTACCATCTTCATAATAATGAACCTATTAGAAAAAGAAATTATAAAATCACATTATAAAAAAATCACCAAGATCCTCATGACTTCAACAACTACACCAATGCAGATGACCACGAATTTCAGCTCTAACCTAGAGATTTTTTTCTAAGCTCCTAACCTTTCAAACTCCAGCCAGACTCTTCCTGCCCTCAGTGTAGTGGGGAGACCAGTTAGTAGTTCCTGCAATAACTCAGGTAAACCATCTACTGATCTGATTACTGGACATTTTTACCTCATAGACATTCTACTGGTACCTAAATTCAAGATTTCCAAAACTGAGCTGACAACATTCTCTCCCCAAACCACTCCTCTTTTGCGTTATTTCCACCAACCACCTAATGCCTAAGTAACATGAATTTATTCAGTAAACATTAATTGATTACTATATATCCCTGCTACTACACACAGCTTTTAAAAAGACAATCCGTGACCTCGTATTTCAATACAACATAGTAAGAAGTAGGCACAAAGTACATTAACAATTACCTAAACTTCTCTGAGAGTTAAAAAAAAGACTTCAGAAAAGAGGCAACACTGTACCTGGGTTTGGCAAAATGAGAATGACACAAATAAACCAAGGAAGATAAAGTTAACTGAACCTGAAGAACAGCATACTTTACAAAGGCTTGTAGGTACTTAAGGTTGGCATGTGTGTGAGGTCAGGGAGGGAAAAGAGTGGCTGGAAAAATATATAGGTAAGGACAAGTCAGTTATGGGCCTTGTATACCAGGCAAATATGTCTGGGCTATCATGTAGGTGTTAGTGTATCATAAAATGGTCTTAAGTAGCCAAGTAACATTAAAATTTAAATCTTAAAAAATCATTTTTCTTGATAGCAATGTGAAAAATGGATTAGGGGATGATGGCAACAGGTCCAGCAATTCAGTAAAAGAAAGTAACAACTTAATGTTAGGCATCATGCTAGTGCTGAAGATAGAACTAAAAACTAGACAATCCCAGCTCTCAACCAGCTTTGGTCCAACAGGAGTACCATTTTAGAAATTATCCAAGTGAGAGCTACTAAATGAAGGAAACAAAAATGGCTACTATTCATCACACACCTTATGTCTGGCTCTGTTTCAATAATTTTGCTCACGTTAACTAATCTTAAAAGTCATATGAACTTTTTTATAGTTTGCCTTTTTTCAGTTGATGCAGAATCAAATCAAAAGAACTTATATAACTTCCTGATACACATCTAGTAACTGACAGAGCTGGGATTTCAACTCAGGCAGTCTGGTTTCAAAAATGCATACTCTTAATTAACCTCTACACTCTCTAGTCACACCAAGACATAAAAGTAATAGGATATAAGACTAGGAATGCATCAGATGACAGAGCAGCAGCATCTGATTCATCTTTATTCCTTTATGGCTCTTAACATAATACCTTTCATTATAGCTAATCAATAAAATAAATATATTGAATAAATAAATGAACCAAGAGAGAAAAAGATTTGTCAGCATTGTCCCTTAACATGTTTAATAATATTTATATTCAAATACTTGGTCTTGGTTATCAAATGTTCTTCTATCTAAACATTTGAGCTTACATTAAGAGTCAAAGAATTCAGTTCTAGTGGGTTATATATAAGAAGCCAAATATGAGTACAGAAGATATATGTAGTATGTACATATATTAATATATGCATATAATAAACACACACATATATATTATATTATACTTCACCCAACTCCACCCAATTGAGTACACAGAACAGCATAACTCAAACTCAGAATCTGCTTGAACAAACTGTATGAAGAACAGACCAAATGGTGGCATCTAATTTTAGCTGTTTTTTTTTAACAATCTGTCAGCCATCCTTGCAGATTTCTGATGACTAGGGAATGAACTGCAAGGTTATTTAAAAGATGAAATCAGCACTACTTGTCTTCCCGTTACCTGAAAACAAAGACCAGAAAAAGAAATGGCTATTGCATACTATGAAAATATAATCTTTTGAATTAGTTGCTTCTCTGTTCAGAATATTCTAGAGATCAGTTAACAAATTCCTCTTATTTCATACCTGAATTTTCAAGATGCCAACCACCTGAGTGGTTGAAGGAGTGACTGTGAACTTCCACTCTGACCTCCAACGACCATTCCTTAAAAATAAAAACAGCAGCTGTAAATAAGGTAGGGAAAATAATTTGAATAAATTTCAAGTTCTAGATTTAAATTTTATGCTACAGTATGAGACTGTGGGGGACTGATGCTGTACATTCATTCTTTAATCACTGAAATACTCAAAAGAATCAAAAGATTAAGCTCAGTTGTGAGCTACATTTAATTTACTATTCACCCTCCTGATAAGGATTTAAATAATAGATGCAACTTCAGAGTTCTAAAGCTAAGGCTTAAAATACAGTTCAAAACTAAATCATGTAACTTACTTTTAGAGAAACATTTTAAACTATTTCTTCACTTGAATCACTTATGCTTTAAGAATAAACTGAATACATGCTCAGATCATCAGGAGCTTTTGTGAATACAGTCAATGCAGTTTAAAATCCACTGAATGATATAAAAGTATCAAAAAATTTTAAAAGAATGGATGTTAATAGAACATTCTTAAGAAGGTTTTGATATTTGGAAAGAGAAGGGCTATAAACATCATTTGTGTCAGAGTCTCCACTCACAACCCCCACCCTTTTCCATTTTTGGTTTGCAGTTTCCACATAAAAGGCACATCCTCCCATTTCCTGAAATGATTTTTGGCATAAAAATTAATACATATTCATGGTGGGAAACTGACATTATAAACAAGTAACAGGTATGTTACTCATTTTTGTCTCCCTGATAATTAGTTTTATCCTATTTTTTTTCTGACTGCCTTTTCATAGCAACTCCTTTTCTTTCAACTCTTTGAAATGATTTTTGTTTTTTTAATAGATTTTTTAAAGATATTTTTTATAGATTTTCTAATAGATTTTTGCTCTATTTGCTCTTTGCATGATGAAGACATTTATCATGATATGCATATTTATATGTTAGTTCTTTCTGATTAGTATATATATCTAAAATAGTCACAGGGATAATGGTTCACTAACTGGCTTGCTTTCCTGTAGAATTATTACTGGATTCCTTCCAATATTCCTGCAGTTTACCCAGTCATGAAAATCTGTAGACTGATAGTACTCCCATACCTACACTTACCACTTAACATCTGAAAAGTACCATTATTAGACTGTGGGGGACTTAACATCTGAAGAGTACCATTATTAGAACAATGTATACATTCTACAAAATAAAAGAGCATTTTATAACATGTCTTGATTTTGAGCGACATCCAAAATTATCCATAGAGGCTGACTGGAAAAAGAACCAAGGTCATTTTTATTTCATGATTGCAAAAGAAGGTATTACTTTTATTTAGTATTAGTATCAAGCACTTGTTTATAATGTCAGTTCTAAGCATATACATTTATGACTTACTATGATAATTAACATATATCACCAGTGACTGAAAAGAAAAAAAGAATTCCATGGCACCAACTTGAGATCCTTCCAAAGGCATTAGTACATAGTAACAGTAAGTGATGCAGAGTAGATAGTACCCTTTGGAGTACTATCAATGGAGTAAAAGTCAAGATGTCCTCACCTTTAATTAAATTCTTCCCTTCTCTTCTATTAATGTTGTAATTACAAGTATGTATTTATTCAATGAATATTTTATTAAGACCCCAATATTGCTAGACATCAGGAAACAGTGGAGACCAAGAAGAGAATGTCCCTAGGGAAATCTATAAAACACCCCTGACTAATACCTTATGATTTTTATTCTATCTTATTTTAGATGAAATGAAGTATATTTCTTTGTACCAAAAAACTTAGATTTTACTGAGAATATTGTGATATGTAATGTTTAGCATTTTGGAATGTCATATAAAATTTATCTTTTCCAAAAGTGGAAGCCATTTTCAACTTCAATGATGTAATATTGATAGTGGTAGTTCAGAAAAAAGAAAAATTTGGATATGAAAAGTAAAATACTGAGAAGAGAAAACTCAAGGACAAGCGTCACCTTCATTTTTCAGATGCTAAAGCTCAAATAAATTACATTTCTGGAAACTAGTAAATTCACTATAACATCTCCAATACATCTTAAAGTAAAACTTAGTAACAAGAAATTTCCTTTGATAGTAGTTTAAGCTCAACAAGACTGACTTTAATTATACATATCCTAGCACAAATAGCATAAATTAGAAGTAATTTTGTGAAGATTTATTTCTTTAGGACACTGTTAGATAAGTGCTACAAGTTTTTAGGCCCAAGGTGGAGAAATGACATTTATATTTAAGTCCATAAAAGTAACTTTGTACACTAGAATCTATAGGGAACTGCAGCATGTCATTAAGGTAGATGTTTACATATAGAACTGATTTTTCCTTTAGGGATAATGGGTCTGCATTCCTCCACGTTCTTGGTAACCTTGTAGCCTTGCAATTATTTCTGAGATGGTTAGGTACTGGAACAACATGGTAATAAACCAATATGGTCCTCAGGGGTTACTGATAGCTAAGAAATCAAAAGCTCATACACTTGAAGGTAAATAATATGACTATGCTAAACTCTGCTGACCATAGCACGTTAACAAAAACGGGGGATAAAGGTAAAGATTTCATTCAATTCTGAATTTTAAGTGTTGAAGAGCCTCAAAATTTTCTAGCAGGAATTATCTCAGAAACAGTTTTAAGAATAAAAATGCCTTGCAACTTGTCAAAGGTCCCAGATTAATAGGGCAAGTGTATGCTTTCCGAGGGGACTCTTCTAAAGAATAATCAAATGATTGTATACAAAATTACAAGGCATGATTATAATTTGTCTCACTGTATAAAACATGTCATTACTTACCTTAGCCAACCAAACAAAACCAATCCACATGAAAACACCTACTTCACAGCCCCTGAGATTCACACACAAAAAATCATCTTTCTTCACTTTATGATTGCTTCTGTCCTCCCCCATGTAAGCCTCATTAGGGAACAGCCCCTTCTCAGAATGAGCATATGGGCCTGCCAACTGGTCTGCTCACAGGCACACATGTTCCCTCAGGATGCTGCTTGCTAGTCTCTAAAAACACTTGATGCTCTCCCACACTCTTTTCACTGAGTGTCAATAGATTTACTGCTACTTTTACACGATTAGGTTCATTATGAGCAGATACCTTTACTATATCAAAGGGCTGAAGTTTATATTACGTTTATATTGATCTTAGTCAATCATACACACACAAGGTACAGGCCCAATCAATAAAGCAAGAACTACAAAGAATATAAATAATGTCAATATAAAACAGTACACAAAATTTTAACTTACCAAAAGTTTTTTGCTTGGAACTGATGGCTTTCTATGCATGCAATAATGGTTTGTTGTCCATCTATTTTTTTACCATATACCTTATTGGTAAAGAAAATAAACATAATAGTGAATTTATGGCCAGTATGTCCAACTAAATATATAAGTAATACTGAAAACTGTGTATCATGGCAAGAACATATAAAAGAACACAAAGTCATCATTCCAATATAGTAGCTAGAAAAATAAGTACTCAAACGTGTACACCTAATCACAGATTCTAAGTGGATCATAAAAGAGCTCACAATTAATAAAAGTTTAATTTATTGAGTAAAACTCTAAAGTATTCATAAATATCCTAGACATCCCATTCCCAAAACAGGTATCATAAGAAATGTAGTTATTTTAAACATAGGTAGCAATGTGGCTGTTTCCACACAAATAAAAACTGAACCTAAATTGGGATTATCATCTTTTACTTCACAATCTTAGGGGTTACCATTTCTTTAGTCATTTTGAAAAGTATTAGGTAGAGGTGAGAAAGATAATTTACTTATAACTGAGAAAGGCCATTAACAAAATGCCTGTGATGGTATGACCTCATTTCACCTCTTACCTACTGCTTTAAAAGAAACAATGAATTTGTGCCTTTCAGTTCCCTAGGAACAAACAAAGGCTCTGTGACTCAACCAAACCACCGTAAATTATTCTTCCAAAATAATCCTCATCAACAGGGTTATAACTCAAAGAACTTGTAAGGTATTTTAGGTTATGTTGCTCTATTTCTCAAGTAATTACTGAGAACTAGATAGTTAAGAGGAGCGAAAGAATTTTGTCCTAACCACAAAACTTACAGGAGTGGAAGGAAGCTATTGGTAATGCTAATCACTATGTTGGCACAATGGGCACAGACCTCAGGTTGGACAGGTAGACAGAGGCTAGACCCACAGGGCCTTGAAGACATGTCCAAAAGCCTGGACTCTCTTCAATGGGAAATCTTTGACAGATTTTGGCAGCTGATTTTTTTCTTTCTTTTTTTATTAAACTATCACTGCTACACAATATATGTTGGTTTCAAATATACAACAGTGGTATCAATAGTTACCCATATTATTAAGTCCTCTCAATGTAAAGATGTTACAGAATCATTGACTGTATTCTCCATGATCAACTTATATTGTGATTATGAATTATTGTGCCTCTTTAACCCCTCTAACCTTTCCCCCAGCCCTTCCCCCTTGGTAACCACTAGACCCTTCTTGGTGTCCATGAGTCTACTGCTATTTTGCTTCGTCTGCTTTGCTTTGTTTTTATACTCCACAAATAAGTGAACTTATTTGGTATTCATCTTTCTCCGCCTGGCTTATTTCATTGAGCATAATATCCTCTAGATCTATTCATGCTGTTGCAAGTGGGAGGATTTCTTTTCTTCTTATGATCGAATAATATTCCATTGTGTATATGTACCATATCTTCTTTATCCATTCATCTATTAATGGACACTTAGGTTGCTTCCATATTCAAGCAGGGGATTTTCACGTATTATTTGCATTTCAATAGATCACTCTGGCTATGGAGATGATCACAGAAGCACGAACAAACTAGGAAATTAAACAGCTTATCTGGGTACAAACAATTTTATGAAAGAAAAAAAAAAGGCACTCTTACTTTCTACCATACTTCTTCCTGAAAATATAAAAATAGGTTAAACCTATGAAAGAACCACATTAAAAAACATGAGGATGATGCCACTTCCAAATAATTTTGTTTCGAGATTTTATAACAATGAAAAGAAATTATCTACACTTACTGAGAACTGTAAACATGAGATTAAAGAGTATCATTATATCATGCTCCTCTAATCAATGTATGAGATTTCCTAATTGGACTTAATTTAAGGTACAACTATTTTTCAACTTTGGACTATCATAATATATCTACTAAGAATTTCTTGAAAAAAATATTAAACATTCCTAGAAATATATATATTTCAAGACAAAAAGAATGTAAAGTTGTAAAAAGTCAACTGACTGTAAATTACTCTACATTTCAGATTATAGAAACACTGTCCGATTTACATAAGAGAAAAGAAAAAGGTACACATTGATGACTTACGGTGCAGACCCCATTTGGATAATGCTCTTTTACATAAGCTCGTAGAGCAGTTTCTACTGAAGTTCTCCACGATTCAATTGCATTTTCTGCTTCATATGGTCTTGGATCAGTTGCCTCCTTTCTTAAGTGATCAAATTTGAAACAGATTCTGTTTTTTGGATCCAAAAACTTTCCATTTCCCAAGTCACCATGTTCTGTTATCAATACCTTCAATGACGCAGTGAATTTTGAAAAAAAAAAGTGTTTAATTGCATTTAAGTACTAACATATATTGATATACATTCATTTAAGCTTTTCCCTTAAAACTCTAATTTTATTCCAAGCACCTGGTTTAACTACATGGCACAATGATAATATTTCAAATGAGTAGACTATAAACACAATGGGGCTCCTTTGGATGTATCAAAGTAAGATGTATTCTCCTAAATTTTTGCCAGTCATAAAAATTCCACATGGATAAACACATAAGTATCTGTGTATACATACACACAACAAACAGGGTTTTTTGGCCATCATTTTGCAAGAACAGAATGAGATGCATGCAAACACACATTTTTCTATATATGGCTCTTTTCCATATCAACACCTTATGGAAATCCTTCAGAGTCAACTGGTATACCTCTCACCACTCTTTTTAATGGTTGCATAATACCCCATGGTGTGGATGTAACAATTTATTCTGCCATTCTGCTACTCATGGACCATCTCTTTATTTCCAGGCTGTTTTCTTTCATGAGGGACGAATGGGCAAATTAAAAACGTTGAAGAATTATTATACATATGTTTTAACATACTAATGTCTTTAATTTCCACTGAATGCTTCTATTTCTCTTGGATAGATTCCTAGCAGTGGAGACAGTTGGTAAAAGTTTATATATTTTTAATTTTTAATATGTAATTAGATTGCTTCCCCCAAAGTGGCTAGGACTAATCTACAGTTCTGCCAATAGTATATGAAATGTTTCCTTCCCTTCACCTTACCACCATCAATAGGTATATGGTTCTTTTTCCATCTGATGGGTATAAAATATACCTCATTACTTTAATTATATTTCTCTGACCACTGACAGATCTAGATACTGTTTCATGTTTGTGTATTTCCTATTCTGTAATCAAATATCCTTCAATATTTTTCACCTGGTTTTCCTTATTAATTTATAAAAGTCCATGGCTTAAGGCATCTGTTTCATTCTGCAGTTAAAATAATCATGATACAGCAAAATGTTATTTCCATAGTTTCTGGGTTTCTAACCTTATTTAAGATGGTCTTCTCTACCCTTATATCGTCCATGTAGACTCTTTTCTCGTAACACTGTAGTCATTTTACAAATGTTTAATTCACCTGAAATTTATTTCTATATATTGAATGAGACAGAGGTCCCACTTAACTTTCTTCTTGATAGAAACCAGTTGTGCCCGTATCTTTTATTAAGTCTGTCTAGATTATAACCTTGTCATGTATAAGAATTTTCATATATCTGGGCACTAAATTCTGCATCTATATGTTGTTCTACTGATCTATTTGTCTATACAGTACCACCCTGATTCAACTTTACATGTTTGTATATTTCCTATTCTGTAATCAAATATCCTTCAATATTTTATGAAGCATCTTCTACCTAGTAAGGCAATTCTCTCTCACAGGTCCTTCTGCTCTTAAATTTTTCTTGCTTTTTCTAAGAATGTTTTTTGCATAAAATTTTTTGACATTTTGACCAATTAAAAGGCTATCAAACTGCATTAAATTCATGTTTACAATTTTAAATAACCATCTCAAAATGGAATGTGGTGTGTGTGCCTTTCCATTGTCTTCTTGAAATACATAAAAAAAGGATCTGAATAATCACCATCTTCTTCACAATCTTATGCCCTTCTTGTTAAAGTTATTTCTAGGATAACATTTAATTTTACCACTATTTAAAATGGAGTTCTTTCCTCTCTAATAATCTCTACTTTCTCTACTTACTTTTGCTGCAACAGAGGAAAGTTAATGAATTTTGTATACTTACTTTCAGCCATCTCATGAAATTATTTTAAGTCTTATGTGTTTTGGTTAGAAGGTTAATTTTAGTAGAGTCTCAGTATTCCTAAATATATAAATGTTAAAACTTAAGAGTTTTCTTTTCCAAAGCTTTGAAGGTTCTCATTATCTTGTCTTACTTGCTATACCTCCATTTATGATAAATAACAATGGTGAAAAGTAGACATATTTAGTTAATTTTCTATTTTAACTAAAATTATTTTAGTGTTTGTAGTGTATGATATTTACTATTGGTTTTTGTTAAATAGTCTTCTATTTAAGAGGTTTTCTTCTGTCCCTAATTTTACTTAGGGTTTTTATAATGAGGACTAGCTGCTGGATTTTTTAAAACCCTTTTCACTGTTACTGATATATCATAAGGTTATTCTCTTTAATTTGTGGGTTAATAGATAAGACTAATATATTGCCTTACCTGGAACCACTCTTGCATCCTTGTAATAAATTCTATTTAGTCTTGGCATATTATTCTTTTGATATAGTTCTGGATTTTATTTGTTAATATCTATTTAAGGTTTTTAAACCTATAGTCATATGGGAGATTAGGGTAGTTTGCCTTTTTTGTTTCATCTTTATTAGGTTTAAGTATTAAAATTATGCTAGGTTCATAAAAGGAGTCCGGGAGCTATCCAACATTTTTAAAAGATGCATCCCCTGGACCCAGCAAATCTTCCTTTACGGATTTATCTTAAGAAAACAAAAGCCAATGTACCCAGAGGTACAAATATACTCAATATAGCATTTTTTATAACAGTTAATCAAAAAAATAAAAATAAAAACAAAATCTCCCAAGAGAGGAAATTTAGGAGATTCATAAAATGAAACTCTATGTAGCTTTATATATATATACACATGCATATCTATGTGTGTAAAGCTTATGTCTTATATACATATCTGTCTAGTGTCTCTTTCCCCTACAACTACAAGACTACATATGCCCTAATGAATAATACCAAATGCAAGCTTTGCAAATTAGCCTCTAAGAGCCACTAAGAGCTAATTTTACTACTTTCTTTTTATGTTCTACCAGCAGATTCTTCTTCCTATTGTTTTATATAACATAAGCATGTATGAATAAATACAAGCACTGTTTAATTATTAGTCATTCTAAAATAAAAAAATAAAAAAATGTGATGTTTTGTGATGTTTTCTTAGCAATTCTAACTTACATTTTGGAAAGATAAGATTTAATAATTACTAAACTCACATGAAGAACTGTAGAATTCCAAAGCAACCAAATTATGATACAAATCTTACTAATATATATTCTAGATTTGGGATTAAATAGAACTTTTTTTCCTATAAAAAACATGAAAGATATAAATCAATTACTTGCTAAAATCTTAAAAGAATTAAATTTGAATATTCCTAAGAGAAACTTTCTGCTAACAGTGTATTGGTCTCAACAAAAGAAACTACATTTTCAATTACTTTGCCCCTAAGTGGCTATGATTACAATGAATATTTTTTTCTCTTTAAACATACCATTTCACAATTCTTGTAGGATACATTAACCATTATAAATGACACAAAGAATATCCAGATCCTGTGTTTATATGAAACATACCTGATCTTCATAACCTTCAATTTTTACTGGAGTAAACTGGTCCAAGTTATACTGTGCAAATGCACTAAAAAGGAAAAATGCCTTTACTTAAAATTATATATTCAATCCTCTGAAAAAATCATAAATAATTCAACTGTCAATAAAAGTCTCCTTCACTTCACATATGGCAAGTTAAATAAAACTACAATTCTCCATTATTGATTTTATATTAACTATAAATATTATACAGATATGGCAGTTTGAAAACTGATAAATGATATCCAGCTTTCAATGTTTAACAGAAGAAAATTAAATCAGTAAATCTAATTGGGAATTCTGAAAGTAAAGATCAGCCATCTATAAGATTATATATCCAGTTATTAAAGTACATATTTAGTATACAACGTAACAGGAAACAGGAGGTGCTATGAGAGATGCAACGAGTAATCAGACAGATTCTATAATCAAAAGGCTTACAGCTTAATGGGGAGGTAACAGATAATATAGCTGTAATACAAAGTAGAAAGTACCATAAGAGATTGACCATTAAGCACCATGGAGAATATATATGTTTTAAAATTACATTCTTTTGAGACAAGGGTAAGAACAGAGAGTTAGGGGTGATTTCATAACGAATGTCACACTTAGAAATAGCCTTGAAATAATGGGTAGGCTCTCTGGTCCTGTAGATATTGGAGGGATGGGAAGAAAAGAGTATTTCCATTAAAGGGATGAGAATAAGCAAAACACAAGGGAAGAAGATAGGATAGGTCAACATCACAGGAAGTACCCAGTTCAATGCCTGGCACAAAGCAGGTGTTCACTTATATTTGCTGAAGTGAACTGAAAGGCCCTAAATGATGGAATAATTACTTCACTTAAGAGACAAAACAATCAAAAAAGTTTTTTGAGAAAGGAGAAGCTAGAACTACTGCTAAAGAAGATCAATTTGGCAGCAGTGTGTATGACAATTGGGCAGTGGAGCAACTAAGGCCAGAAAAAGCAATTAGGTATCATTAGGCAAACATCCATGTTAGAACTGCTGAGACTCTGAACTAGAAAATGGTAATGAGATGGATTCAAAAATAAAGCCTCTCTCTCTACTCTTACATGAGTAAAGAATAATATATTACATAGCACATTTGTATGAAGAACTCTAATAGTACAAAAAATTATCTAAAAATACATACAAAGAAGAACAAAGCAAAAACTGAAGGAACAAAACAGCAGCAGACTCACAGAACCCAAGAATGGACTAACAGTTGCCAAAGGGAAAGGGACTGGGGAGCATGGGTGGGAAGGGAGGTAGAAGGGGAGTAAGTGGCATTACAATTAGCAGACATAACATTGGGGGGGTGGAGCATGGGGAAGGCAGTATAGCACGGGGAAGGCAGTGTAGCACAGGGAAGACAAGTAGTGACTCTATAGCATCTTACTATGCTGATGGACAGTGACTGTAATGGGGTATGTGGTGGGGATCTGACGATGGGGGCAATCTAGTAACCAAAATGTTGCTCATGTGATTGTATATTAATGATACCAAAATAAAATAAAAATTTTAAGATCCTAAAAAAAAATACATATAAAGATCAGACTGTAGTTTATTATATCTGCAACCTGGGAATTTTCAACTTAATGGAAAAGACAGTGGAGATTTTAAAATTCAAGAATACCTCTCTCAATCTAATCTAGTTGGAAGCTTTTCAGATTACTCTGCATGGCAGAACATCCACCAAATTTTCAGGTATCAGCTACCAGGGTTCCTTTAGAAAGGAATGTTTAGTTGAGCAAGCATTACTAAAGAGGTAACAGGAGATCAGTAAATGTAAAAAGAGAAAAGTAGAATGAAATTACTAGCTGTCAAACTCCTGACATGGCATATTCAAAAAAAGACAGGGGTAAATATAGAAATGCTTTGGGTGGGGGTGGGGTGGGAGAGTATCTATTTACTTCAAACTTTCTTAATTCATGCAAACTAGTTTTCCTAGGAATAGCCTCAACATAGCTAGACAGTTAACCCTTAAATGAATTTACATAAAACAGGTATTAGCAATTTTTTTAAAAGGTATTGTATATCACTTAGAATGTAAGATTCATTTTCTACTAAAAGACATGTTTAATACATGTAGATAGTAATTTGGTCCTAGGACTTTTACTGTACTATATAATTTGGGAGTGGGGAAGAATAGGAAATCTGAAAAGGAGACAGTGATCACAAAATACATAAAAAATTATCTTAAATGCTCAAAGCAAGTTAACAGGTGACAACTGCACAGTACAGTGGGAAAGATACCAACTAACCAAGGAGTTGAAATACAGAATGCCTAGATTTTATTTGAACTCCATTCTTAGCTAGTATGGGCCCCCTTACCTCATCCATAAAAAGAGGGGTTTGGACTAGATGACTTACAAAGACTCTTTCAGTTCAGAAAACTTACTCCATAGCCACTCACTCATCATCCACTCACCTACCCTCCATCAGTGCAAATATTCAGGTGTTAAGCACTATACTAGATACAGTGAAAACAATGATTTTTCTGCCCTGATAGAATTCCACAGACCAATCATCACTTTGTAAGTCACCTGTCCTGTATGTAGATTTTTATACCCTTTACTATTGGTCATTCACCAATCACATCTTACACTTTTCACCATGTGGCTCCCTCAGTTTAGACACATAATTCCCCTTATTTACTGTTCATCATTTAAACTCAGCTCAAAACCCACCTCTAAACAGAAATTTAAAATTTTTTCCTTTGGGCTCCAAATGCCTTTGATAGGCCTCCATTATGATAACATTTTATTTCATTTGGCCTGATAGTGGACATGTCTGACTATACTGGAAAATCCCTATGAGGCTTACTTATCTCACCATCACAGTGAAGTTTGGCATTCATATGTCTGCCGAATAAAAGGCTATTTCTGGATATTTCTAAATGTTCTAGACTTGAAAATACCAACTCTTCAGTGTATCTAAGTTTACTATGAACCATACTGAATTTGTGCCCTTTAGTAAAGATGTCCCATCAGAGCCACTCTTGAAAATAATAGCCATGTTTTTTCCCCTTGCAAAAAAATAGAACGAGGAAAAAAAAAAGATTAAGAGTTAAAGCAAAAGGGAAAAGGTGAAGAAAGGAGAAAAATATGTGTAAATAATGTGAGAAAAACATGTATAAAAGAAATTCAGTATCAAGAAGTGCAACTGAAGAAGAAACAGGACTGTGGCTAGGCACTTACTACAATGAAAATGCCATGAAGACACATTCCAAATGTTTTTATGATGCTTTCTAAGCTTACATTTTGCAGTTTTAATTGACTCAATCATAGGTGATAGTATATTTTGAGGGTGAAAATCAGGTTTGGAGATATTTCAGGAGTAATTCAGCCCAAGTCTAATTCAGCCCAAGTCTAATAAACAATGAAGGTAATGCTATTTTTGCTTGAAAATTATTTCAGTGAAAGGACACTGAACCAGAATAATATAATTCTGAAGTCAATCAAGGATTTAATTCATGTATTTCTGTACTTCACAGATACCCTCAGATGTCTACAAAACAAATCTCAATATTTAAGTTGTGAGAAAATCTGTGCGAAGAATACTACTGAAGTCAACACAGAATATTTTCTCTGTTCATCTAGTTAGCAATCATTTATTGAGAGTACAACCAAATGCAAGAAAATCTGAAGTTTCTACTGAAGATTTTGATGTATTTTTCTTGAGGTTATACCACAAACATCTTGTTTTATCATTAGTTATAGACTGCCCCAAAGACTTATTTCCTTACAGGATCAGAATAGCAGACATTTCAAAGAACATATCTCCTGAAATGTGGACCACAAATGTCCCCGAAATTTGGTTCACAAGAAAAGAGAAATGCAACTCATTCCAATTTCTTTTTAGAACAAATCAAATTTATTTAATTTAAATTTAACAGGCATCATCTGACAAATACTTCTCTGGACAAATAAAATTTCAATGCTTTCATCATTTTCGAGTTAAATGCATGACTATTTCATATCACTGATATTATTATGAATATTTCTCTGATGTTCATTAAACTTTATTCTGCCAGGTAAAAACTTATCTTTCAATGAATCAATTTTCTCACTTTAACTTTAAAAATATCCACTAATATTTGCACCTATGTGAAACAACCCACATAGTTATTTACCACAGAAAACTCAGAGGGGAAGTTTAAAGTACTGTGGCTAAAAGTTCATAAGTGCTATATATTTTGTTTTCCCGTAAGACTTTTTTTGTCAACATGTTCTAAGCCATTACGAAGAAAATTACTTAAATATAAAAATTATTTAAATAAGGTTTGGAGAACTTAGGAGTAAGTGGCCATTCACACAGAAGCTAGTAACTAAAGTCACAAGTATAAAATAAATTTTCTTAAAGCACTTTAATAATTAACAGGGGTGGAAGCAAGCCAATTGTCCACTGACAGATGAATGGAGAAATAAAATGTGGTATATATATTCAATGTTAAAAGGAAGCAAATTCTGACATGCTACAATATGGATGAACTTTGAAAACATTATACCAAGTAGAACAACCAGTCACAAAAAGACAAATACTGTACAATTCCACTTAAATGAGGTACCTAGACAAGTCAAACTTACGGAGACAGAAAACAGAATGGTGACTGCCAGGAATTGAAGAGGAGGGGGAGAATGGAAAATTATTTAATGGATATGCACTTTCAGTTTGGGAAAATGATAAAAGGCTGGAGATGGATGGTGGTGATGATTACCCAACAATGTAAATGTACTTAAAGCCAAAGAACTGTACACCTAAGAATTACCATTTAAAATGGTAAATGTTATATTTTTTTCCCACAATAAAAAATAATAAGTAAAAATTGCCATTCAAAAAGTACAGTATTTAGAGGGGCGGAGCCAGGATGGCGGCAAGAGTAGAGCAGTGGAAATCTCCTCCCAAAAACACATAGAGCTATGAAAATATAACAAAGAAAAATCTTCCTAAAATAGAGACCACAGGACACAGGACAACATCCAGACCACATCCACACCTGCAAGAACCCAGCGCTTGCGAAGGGGGTAAGATACAAGCCCCAGCCC